GGCTGGGGATTCGAACCCGCCACCTTAGGTGTACGTGGCTGACGCCTTAGCCGGTTGAGCTATAGGTGCCGAGCCGTTAAGTCTTTTGCCCAACATCACACAGTTACAAAGGGCTGAGGCTCTCCACCATGGAGCGGTTAGGGTTTCAGAGTTGGCTCTAGGTGGGAAGGAAGCCGAATTGGCTAAGAGCTGGACAGATGCCCTGATCCCCATTGTCCCCTTGCTCCCCCCCGACCCCTCCCCAGTGCTCCATAAACATCAGGGTTATCATTAACTAGAGACTGCTGGTGACCTTGGGGTGCAGGTTACCAGGGGCAGAGGCTCAGAGAGCTCAGACAGGGATGAGGCAGCTTTTTGCTGCCTGGGTCCTCTGAGGCCACGTGTGTATATGCACATGTTGCATTCATTGGTCAGGGCTGCACCTGTGTCTGGGTGTGATCACATCTAACTGCTCCTGACTGTCCAGCAGAGTGGTGTCTGGGCCTGTGTCTGACCATTGTGCATGGGCAGTTTCTGTTGTTAACCACCAGGGGACCTCCAGAGAACCAGGTCCAATACTAAGCCTTGGTTTTCTCATCTCTAAAATGTAGTTAATGATAAGACAATGTCAGGTTCAGTGACCTCTGAACTTGGCCCAAGATTACATGAATATCCTTAGTGATTTCTCCATTTTAGAGCACAGAACACTGAGGCACGGAGAGATCACAAAGGCTGCCCAAGGTCACACAACAGGAGTAAAGGTTTTTCTGTCACCATGCCTGTCACTGGCCTGCCCTGAAGATGCCTGGATGTGTTGTCCCCTGGTGGTCACAGAGCCCGCATGAGCTTGGGGAAAGAAACATTTGGCGCTAAACACATGCCCATGATTTTGGAGTGTTTGAACACACAAGCGTGTCAGCCTGTCTGTAACAGGGTGGCCAGCTGGGTGCCTGTCTGCCTGTGCATGTGGGTGAGAACATGTGTGCCTCTGTCTTGGTGGCTCTGTGTAAGGACAGCTGGTTGCATGGCAGTGTCCTTGACACTGTTTTGCTCGTGTCTGCTTCTCTGGGTGCCCATGGAAATGTGTGTACACAAGTTTGTTGGCCTTTATACTTTTGAGGTTGTATAAGAGTGCGAGTGTATTGTTGAATGTATTTATGTGGTGTGTGTGTATGCGTTGGTGTGTTTCTGTATGGCCATTTGTGAGTGTGTTTTCTGGATCTGTGTGACTGTGTGGACAGTTGTGTGGCTGTGTTTCTATGTGCCTACGTGGGCGTCCATCTGAATGAATGTGTGTGTGTGTGTGTGTGTATATACACAACAGTTTGTCTCAGTGTTTTCTGGCTAGTATTCGAGGTGCTGGCTGTGCGTCCAGACCTTTAGGTTTCTCTGTGGGTGTGTTATTCTCAGTGTGTGTCTGCCTCTGTGTGGGTGTGCACATACACATATCTGTTTTTGTGCCCATGTTTCTGAGTCCTTGGGTTTCTCTGTGTATGTGTGGTATGCATCACTCAAGGGACCCACCTGACCGGAATAGACGGTACCCCCTACAGCACACTGGGATTGAGGGTCAGTGAGCTCCTAGCACTCAGGCTGGGTGACCCCAGGCTCCAGTTGGGCCGATTCCCAGGGAGTAATGCGCACATGTGTGTGTATGTGAGACTGTGTCTGAAATTCCGTCCTCCGCCGTGTACCCTGCCTTTCCTGCACTGTTGCCTGCTGTTCCTCCATCTGCCCTGAGAGAGTTAACCCAGCGGGCCAGGGCGGTCTGGGCTGGGGGCCGCCCCCTGGCCCCCCTCCAGCCCCGGCTCCAGTTACAGCTGCTGTTGGGGAGGGCCAGGGTGGGGTGGGGCTGGGAGGGGAGCCTGCTGGGGGCGGTGCATCTAGCTCTAGGCCAGGGGGTCCAAAGTGCTCAGCCCCCGGGGCACAGCAGGACATTTGGGGGCCTTCTTTCCGCAGGGGACAGACTGACTGGGGTGAGCACCCCCCTCCAGCCCTCCCCTCCAGGCTTCACCCCTGGCCTGGCCAGGCTGCCTATTTTGGGAGCAGGAGTGGCCAGCCCGTGGCTTCCCAGGCAGGCCTGACCCAAGAGGGAGGGAGAGTGGTTGGGACGCTGGGGTTCCGCAGGGGTGGGGTGTGGGCTGTAGGTGCGACTCCTCCCTTCCCCGCTGCTGTGTGTGCACTCTGGCTGGCTGTGCTGTTTGGACACACACGTGTGTAGATCTGGTTGCATCACTGTTTGGGGGCACCCGAGGCCCAGATGAGGAGAACGGTGTGCTTGATGGTGCGTCCACCTTCCCACCCAGCCCAGTCCCACCAGAAGTGTTGTCTCATTTCCATTCCAGTCCTGTGGGGTGTGTGTGTGTGTGTGTGTGTGTGTGTACTCATCCCGGCCTTGGCATCTGTCTTCTGTCTCTCAGGCTAACTAGCCTAGGCCCCATGCCACTGGCCGGGTGTTGTCAGGTTGTGAAAGATGTCACCCAGAGTCTGGTGGGGCGGAAGGATTGTTTTCTCTTTTCTCATTGCTTCCCGGAGAGGAAAAGGGGTGGCCTTTCCCACAGGGGCAGCCTGTGGCAATGTGGCAGCCGGACCTCGCCCCATAGGACCGTTCCTGACCCCCGAGTGGGGGAAGGCAGGCTGTTGCCATGGTGGCCTGAGTGAGACGAATTCCTCCAGGGTGAAGTGGGAGATATTTATACCCAGGGTCAGGCCTGGAGCAGGCGGGCAGCCGAGGGCAGGAGAGCTGGGATTTCACGGGATACAGCAAGGCTGGGGCTGCAGTGTACAAGCAGGTGGGACTTGGGCGTGTCACACTGTCTTCCTCAGTGTCTGTCTCTTCTCTGCCGGTGTGAGGCGCCACCCTGCTCTCCTCTGTGAGGGTAGGTTTCAGGAAGTTGGGCCTGCTGTGCCCCTGCCCTTCCCCCACTTTGTAGATTGTTTTGGTGACGCCATGTCCTCATGAAGCTTGGGGTACCCTTGTTTCTCTGGGCAACCAAGCTAGTTGACTAGTGCTTTTGTGATTAAGTTCCTGGACTGTCTCTGACTTATTCCCTTGGGTTCAGGACTTAATGGTGGGGAGAAGGAGGGGACACATTTCCTGACCTTCCGTGTCTCCCCAGGATAATGGCGTCCCTTGGCCACATCTTGGTTCTCTGTGTGGGTCTTCTTGCCACAGCTGATGCAGGTGAGTCTAGGGGAGGCAGCCCACTATGCACCTCAACTCCAAGGATGACAGGGGTAGGGAGACCTCATGAAGGAACCCAACCCACACTGTTGGGGTCAGTTGGGGTACCAGGAAATTGAGGGGCTCCACATGGCAGGGATTTAAGGGTCTGGCCACAGGCAGGGATTTAGGGGAGGGGAGATGTCAGGCAAAGTTGGGGGTGGGATGAAGTCTTCCCAACTGGACAATGGAATCAGACAGCCTGCAGTTAGAGAGCTGGGGCAGTTAGGGGCCCCCTGCCCACCCCACCCCCCGCCCTGAAAGTGCCTCTGGGGCAGGATGGATCCACAGAGGGTGGGCAGCATACCTAGACAGCCCCCAAACTCAGCCCAGGAAAGCAGAGCCCTGGAAGAATGTTTTATGCCCCTCCCTGCCCAGGGCCCCAGGAAGCATTTGACCCCTGATTTCTCTCTCTTTCCAGAAAATCCAAAGAAGGAACATGACCCATTCACCTATGGTGAGGGGCGTCTGGGGAGGGTTTGGGTCTGACTGCCCTTCCCTATTTCTTCCCTCTTTCTCCCACTCTCTCTCTTTTTTCTCTCTCCACCCCTCACCATTTATTCTCTGTCATTCTCCTTCTCTCTCTTGCTGTCTCTCACTGTGTCTAGTCTGTTTCTCTCCTTCTCTCACTCCCTGTCTCTCTGGTTGAGCCCTCATGGGTTCTCTCTGTCTTTCCCTGGGATCTCTCAGTATCTCAGGGCCCATCCTCCCTGGGCTCCTGTCTTTTCTCCCCTCCTCATCTCCCTTCTCCTCCCCACACTCCACCCCTGCTCCCTGCCCAGCTCCCTTCTCTCCTCGCTTTCCTGGGCATCCTTCTCCTCCCTGTGGTCCTCCTCCCCTTTAGGTTTCTCTGAGTATGTATGGTTTCTCCTCTCATATCTGCTGCCCCTCATCTTCTTCCTTCCCTCCTCCTCCCTGCCCCTCTGCTCCCATTGTACCCCTCTCCTCTCCTCCCTACCCTCACCCTGCTTCCTGCCGTCCGCAGACTACCGCTCCCTGCGCATCGGAGGCCTCACCATCGCTGGGATCCTCTTCATCCTGGGCATCCTTATCGTGCTCAGTGAGTGCCCCCACCCGGCCCCCGGCCCCGCCCCGGCTACGCCCAGCCACGCCCCCCGCGAGGCGTGCTGGAGCGAGAGCGCCCCGCAGCGCCAGCCGGTGGAGTCTCAGCCTTTCTCTCCTCGCCCACAGGCAAAAGATGCCGGTGCAAATTCAACCAGCAGCAGAAGTAAGAGGCCTTTCTCCGCCTTGGGTGCCTACTAAGCTCTAGAAGGGCGCAGGGTGGGGTGGGTGAGGCGGGAAGTCCACCCCATCCTCGGTCAGATCCCCTGCAGCGAATCTGTATTAAGCACCTACTGTGTGCCAAGGCCCACAGTCCCATGGTCCCTTGGGACCAAGCGATGAAAACAACTCCCACCCTCCCTGGCCGAGCTCCCAGTCCAGTGGGGGCGGTGGCCGTGGGTTCTGACAGCTCCACAGATAGAAAATCACAAAGCGTGATAACACAAAGTGCCGGAAAGAAAGGGCCGCGGTGAAATGAGATCACCTCACACTGGCGGCCCAGTTTAGCTTGGAGTCCTGTTCCTGGCGCTTTGATTCAGCTTTAAATAAAAATTTAAAAGCACAGCAGTGTATGGATACCTTCGCCATGCTAAAGAAGTACAGATATTATAAGTAACAGCTAATATTTATTGAGTGTGTACCACGTGTCACACACTGTTTCATCATGTGTTAGGTCTCTGTGAGGGAGGTGCTGTTATTAACCCCATTTTACAGTTGAGGAAACTGAGGCACGGGGAGGTAAAGTCGCTTTGCCCAAGATCACTCAACTGGAAGATGGGAGTTCTGGGTTTCCCACCCCGTCATCTGGTGGCAGCCTGCCAGATTCCTTTGATCCTCCCTCCCCCCAACTTCAGGTCCCATCCCCCACCTCGGCGGAGGTACTCACTGTTCACCTGCTGCGCATTTAAACTGTCCCTGGGTGCTCCTCATTTCCGACCCTGAGCCTGCTCCTCCCACACCGGTCTGGGAAATGAGGCCTGTATAGGGTGTTTCCTGGAAGGGCCGCCTCTCCCCTTTTCCATCCCCAATTCCCTCTGCCTCTGCCTTCCCAGGACTGGGGAACCTGATGAAGAGGAGGGAACTTTCCGCAGCTCCATCCGCCGTGAGTTTGGGGAGACTGTGGGTATTTGGGGAAGAAGGCTAGTTCCAAGGACTCCTTTCCTGGCCCGCCCCGGACACGTTGAGGGAGGGGCTTGATCTGGGAGTTGCCCCGCCGCGGTCCTCCCTCCGTGGGAGCGGAGGATGCCCCTTCTGACACCCGATCTCTTTGTGTGCCCCTCAGGTCTGTCCAGCCGCAGGCGGTAGAAACACCTGGCGCGCTGGAACTCTGCCAGGTCCTGCAGCTCTGACTAGGCGGGGGGAGGGGGCGAGAGTGGAGGAGGGGCCGGGTGCCAGGGAGGGAGGGCGGCGAGGAGGGGGGCTGGAGGTCCCTCCTTGCCTCTCACCCTTTTCACCCCACAGGAGTCCCTTGGCACCTGACGCCTCCCACCCACCACCTGCGCGCCCACCGCCAAGTCCACCGCCTCCTTCCCCAGCTATGCCGGCACAGACTCCTCACGCCGCCCAGACTTCCAATAAAACGTGCTTTTCTCCCTTGACAGCGCTTTGTTGATCTGTTGGTCCCTCTGCGGGAAAGCTTGGGCGCCCCTTGGCCCCGGCAGGGGGCGCCCCCACCCTTGGGGAAGGGGCGGGGACGACAGCAGTGGGCGGGGGCGGGGGCGGGGGTGGCCTGGACGGGGGCGGGCTCCCCGAGCCCCCATTGGCTACAGGCCCCCCCAACACCAGGGCTCCCCCCATTCCCCCCCCACATCAGTCCATCCTGCTTCCAGCTGCTGCAGCGCGCCTTAACCGCCTCAGCATCCAGCAGCCCCCTGCTCTGGTCCAGCATGGCGACCCCGACCCAGACCCCCACAAAGGGTGAGCATCACTTGGGGAGGCGGTGCTGGGAGGTTGCGGGATCTGAGAGCTTAGAGTCACCTGGGGAGGGGGTGCAGGGGGGCTCCTGGATCTGAGATCTTAGGAGAGATGGTGTGGGGGCGATTCCAGTATTGGTAAGGGAGGGGAGTGGAGAGGTGATCTCAGCTCTTCCCTGGGAGGAAGTACCCCTGAGGTTCCTCTGGGTCTCATGGGCACTCTCTGCCTGACCGTGTCCTCCCTATGTGGGACCCGCGGTTAGAGAGTGGCAGTCCCGGGAGAAAGGATGCTCGGACAGGTCGCTATGGCAACCGGGTGGCTGGTCCAGCATAGCGATGGTAGCATAGAGAGAGATGGGCTTCCATGGTGGGAGCGGGTGGGTCTGCGGCCACAGAGGTTCTGGAAGATATCAGGGTCTCTGCGGTGGGCAAGGGAGTGTGTGGGGGGGTCCCTATCCCTTTTCTTTCCAGCGGTGTCTCCTATGGTGGATGTGTCCTGAAACCCCTGACAGGCAAGGAGAGCTGGTTGGGGGGAGGGCAAGAGAGAGAGATTGAGAGACCGTGAAAGAGATAGAGAAAGACCAAGAGACACAGATGATTCAGAGTCAGAGACACAAAGACCCAGAAAAACAGAAAGACTCAGAGAGATTCAGAGTGAGTGGATGGGAGAGGCAGAGAGCAGGAGACAGAGATGCAGAGAGAGAAAATCAGAGACAGAGAGAGACTCAGAGATAGAGGGATTAAGACCATTATGGGGAAGGATGCAGAGAGAAAAAGACAGAGGAAGGGAGAGAGGAATAGCAGGGGGGCAGCCTGGGGTGGGGCCCACACCACTGCAGTGAACCTTCATGGGTGGCACTGGGTGGCAGGACCCTCCTTCCCAGCCTACATCCAGTGATGTTTTCCAGTTCTGGAGGTGCACTTGGGTATACACATAGGTGTCCTCCCCACCCCCATGCAGCCACACACAGATTTATATTTCACACCCCTTAACCCAGTTATGCACCCACTTAATCACTCACTCCCGTTCTTGTGCCCTAACAGCCCTTTTGGCTGAACCTGCTTCTGCAGCAGGGCAGGAATAAAATGCTTTAATGGGGGGGGGGTGCGTGGCCAGGGTTTCCAGCACTGGGGGCAGGGCCAGGGCATAGGCTGGGGTGTTGAGGAGCCCCTGGAAGCGAAGAGAACCTCAACCCCACTTCTATCTCTCTTCCCCTTCCCCCTTTCCCAGTAGCCAGGGGCTGCTGCACTGAGCCATATCTGCAGAATCCAAAGCAGGGCGGGGTGGGGGGGCTGCAGAGGCTGGAAGCCACCCTAGGGAGAGGGGGCAGGGCTGAGGCAGCAGGCCTGGCCGGGGCCCAGGGCTTCTTTTCGCAGAGGTGGTGGTTAGCAGGATCGATGGCAGCAGACGGGCAGAGGTGGAAGGGCAGACTCCTTACCCCCCCTCCCTGCTTTGCTCCCCCCCTTCTCCTAGTCACAGCATGAGAGGGGGACCGCAGGTCTTGGGAAATCCCGGGGGAGGAAAAGCATGTTGTACGTTGTCGCAAGCTGCTTAAGGAAACTAATTAATGAATTGTTGGGGAGTGGAGGGGAAGGAGGTGAGGCTCTCTCCCCACCTCTGCCAGAGAACAGGAGGGAGAATGGAGGGCCAATGAAAAGGGGTTCATTAGTTCAACTGTGCCTGCGTCCCTGAGCCTGAGATGGACCCTAAGCTTGGCCAGAAGCCAGTCCTGCAGGGGCGACAACAGGAGGTGAAGAAGGAGGAGAGGGGGCTGAATTTGGGCACAGAGTTAGAAACCCAAGCCTCACACAGGACCTCAGCCAGCCCGGGGTGCCTGGACCCATCACCTCTCTTCACCTCTCAAGATACCCCGGTTGCCACAGCAACCACCTCCTTCCTGATCTCTCCTTGGCTACGGGCCAGGAGTAAGGCACATTCCTTTTCCTGCCTCCTGGCTCCACCCCTTAGCCCAGCCTCACCCTGAGGACCCAGATTGCTGGGGCAGCAGGGACCAGAAGAGGATCTTCTGCATGAAACACTGGGCACCCAGGAGGGAAGCAAAGAGGATCTGGGACAAGTGCTCACCCAGTGGGTTCCTGGTAACTTCGGGGGAGGGAGGGCGTGTGGAAAACCAAGAGGCAAGAGGCTGCATCCAAGCTGTAGCAGTTGGGTTATCTCATTTCTGCCTCGTGTCCATTCAGTTATTCATTCCAGAAAAGTGGAGAGCCTTTCCCAGGTATCAGGATGAACAGCAGAGATGAATCAAACAAGTTTATCTGCTATCTGGAGACAGAGCACGAGTAACTCTACAATTTTTCCCTATTTTGAAGCTTTTGAGTTTCACTTTTATGATTTTGGTCCTATTCAAATGTTCCCTACCCTACCATTTAACACTTTTTTTCCTTCAAGGGATTAGCTTTTTTTTTTTTTTTTTTTTTTTTTTTGACAGAGCCTCAAGCTGTCCCCCTGGGTAGAGTGCCGTGGCATTACAGCTCACAGCAACCTCCAACTCCTGGGCTCAAGCGAGTCTCCTGCCTCTGCCTCCCAAGTAGCTGGGACCACAGGCGCCCGCCACAATGCCCAGCTATTTTTTGGTTGCAGCCGTCGTTGTTGTTTTGGTGGGTCCGGGCTGGGGATTTGAACCCGCCACCTTAGGTGTACGTGGCTGGCACCTTAGCCGGTTGAGCTATAGGCGCCGAGCCAAGGGATTAGCTTTTTAAAAACTTAATTAGCTTTATTTTGTATCATCACCACAAATGGAAAGTTAGTCTTTTTTTTTTTTTTGCCTTAAATCAAAATCAAACAGAAATAATCTTAAGCAAGTGACTGTCCCTTTCTAAGTCCAGTGTCCCCCTTTCCTGAAATGGGGGTGAAGATAGCACCTGTATCAGAGAGTTGCGGTGAAGAATAAATGTGTTGATGTTTTTAAATTGCTGCCGGGCGTGGGGCTGTGCTATCCATTGTTGGCTGGGAAAACAAATAAAAGGGAAAACCAAGTAATGTCACAAACTTACATAGTGTGTGAATCAGTGCTAATCAAGGTGGCCTCAGGGCCACCTTATTGGTCAGTTTAGGCTACCCAGCATATTCTGTAGTAACAAACAGTACCAGAAGTCCAATAGCTTATGATAAGTAGGGTTCACTTCTCACTTATGCTACATACATGTCCATCACAGGTTGACTGGTTACTAAAGAAAAGCAGTCACCATCTTGAACATTTAGGTCACCAGACCAGAGGCAAAAGAGAGCTCTTTCTTTAAAAACTTTTTTAATTGTTAAAAAAAAATTTTTTTTAGAGAGGAGCATTTTCATTTCATTTTCTTTCTTTTCCTTTTTCTTTCTTTCTTTCTTTTTTTTTTTTTTTGAGAATGAGTCTCATTCTGTTGCCCTGGGTTAAGTGCCATGGCGTCATAGCTTACAGCAACCTCATATTCTTGGGCTTGAGCAATTGATTCTCCTATGTCAGCCTCCCAAGCAGCTAGGACTACAGGTGCCCACCACCACACCTGGCTAGTTTTTCTATTTTCAGTAGTGACATGATCTCACTTTTGCTCAGGATGTTCTTGAACTCCTGACCTCAAGCTATCCACCTGCCTCGGCCTTCCAGAGTGCTTGGATTATAGACGTGAGCCACCTCACCCAGCCAAAAGAGATCTCTTGCACAGGCACTTATATGCTCTAGACTGGAAGTGACAGTGACATTTTCACCCACAATTCTTTGACCAAAATTAGTCACATGATCCCACTTAAGCTTAGGAAGCCATCCTTTCCTGAGTTTGGAAGGAGGAAGAAAAACATTAAGGATGATACCTTGCATTACCTTGCATTACCCTGGCACCCCAGACCCCTTCCCTGAGTTGCAGACACTCCATAGCATTCTGCTTTGGAGAAGGCCAAGTGTAACCATCAGAGGAATTAGTCAGGAGGATGGATGTTCTGCGCTCTCCTGAAGGGAAATATGGTTAAGGGCAGGAAGGTGGGAAGTTGGGAAAAGTAGATCCACAGACACGTACACGTTTTATCTACACATTAACATTTCTGAAATTGCGGTGAGACTTGGGTGTGTTTCATGTGGTAGAGTTTTATGGGCATGCATGCACACACACACACATACACACACAGGAAATGCTATTACAAAATGAATTTTGAATCTTAAAATGATATCTTAAAAATATAGTGATAATAGGATAGGAACCAGCATGGCTTCCCTGTACTGGATTTGTTGGCAGGGCCACTGGATGAGAGCAGTGACCACAGCACCTGCCTGAGGGAGCTCTGAGGTGATGAGAAGTTTTAGGGAGCAATCAGGGGAAGCTGATACATTCAGTGGTCCACCAGTGGGACTGGGGTCTGTTAACCTCTTGACAACATATGCCAAGTGTGTGTGGGTGTGTGTATGAGAGAATATGCTTGCATCAGACCTCCACAGGGGTCTAGGACGAGGACTGCCAGGTACAGTTGGATAAGTTGTGCACTGCCTATAAGACAGGACTGATTGACAGTGTAGGTAGGGGCCGGAATCCAGCTGATGTTGCACTCTTCAGGCCTTGTGTCCTGCCACGAGGCTGTATCTCCAGGACCCAGAGTCACCTTATCTGATTTCTGCAAAGAAACTATTGGTTTGGTGGCCCTATATGTATCTTCAAAAAGGCTTAGAAAACCATGGTTGAATTTTCTCTTTCTCTCTCTCTCTCTGCCTCCTCAAAGCTCCTGAGGAACCTGACCCATTTTATTATGGTGAGTGTTGAATTTGGGGATAGAGCTACCTTGGGGCTGGATGGAGGGGTGGCACAGGTCCCCACAGGTCACTGCTGAAGTGGCTTCAGCTATGGTCACTTGATATGTGGTTTTGGCCACTGGCCATGGGGCCACATGGGATATAGTGCACATCAGCTGGGTTCATGGAGGGCTGGGGCAGGGGTGGACTCACACTCTCTCTGAGCCCCCTTCAGCCCTCACCAGGGCTCTGGGCTGGTACCTTGGAGTCATCAGAGAAGCAAACAAGGGGAAGCCTTAAGAGCAATGACTCAAAGGCCTGGCTGCCTGGATTTGAATCCCACCTTACCCACTCATTAGCTGTGTGGCCTTGAGCAATTGACTTTACCTCTCTGGGCCCTTGTAAACAAGGCATAGTAATAGTTCCTGCTTATGAAGACTGGGAAAGATTTACCCGGATGGTACCATTAAGTCATCTTCATGGTATTGAAGCTCAGAGAAGTTTCTCCAGGTCTGGTGGATCTGATCCCAGTTTCCCCTCTAAATACCCGCCTATCACTCCCTCAACCCTTCACTCATCCATATTGTTCCTCTTGTGTGTCAATTTCTTTTCCATCTTAGGGTCTTTGCTGTTGCTTCTCCCTATCTCTTTACATAGCAAGCTCAGACCGAATATTGGCTGCTCTGCCAGGAGAGGCCCTCCTTGAGCCCCTGGCATCACAATATGGAGGTCAACTCATTGAGGGCAGAGACCCAAACCATTGTGGGAAGAGTAGGTGGTCCATAAATTCACATTTTAACGAATATTACTGAGCCCCTGCCAAGTAGTTCAGCAAGACAGGCAAGAATTCTTGGTCGGGCATGGTGGCTCACGCCTGTAATCCTAGTACTCTGGGAGGTCAAGGCAGGTAGATTGCTTGAGCTCATGGGTTCGAGATCAGCCTGAGCAAGAGAAAGACCCCCCATCTCTAAAAATAGCCAGGAGTTGTGGTGGGCGCCTATAGTCCCAGCTACTCTGGAGGCTGAGGCAAGAGAACTGCTTGAGCCCAAGACTTTGAGGTTGCTATGAGTTGTGACGCTGCAACCTTCAGGTTCTCTACTGAGGATGACAAAATGAGACTCCTGCCTCAAAAAAAAAAAAAAAATTCCTGCCCTCCTTGGCCCTATAGTCAATGGAAAGGAGACAGATATTCAAGAAAATAAATAGGAAAGTTATATATTAGACAAGAACCTTTTTAGGCAAGAATAGGAAATAAGATTAATTCTTATGAAGAGGCACATAGGAAGAAATGAGATTAGAAAGTGTTATGGAGAGTATGGAAAATTCTAAATAGGACAGCCAGAGAAAGTTTCACTTACATGTGCATGAAGCCCAAGATGATGTTGGAAGGAGCCATGTGGAGATTTGGAGGAAGAGCTTTCAGGCAGAGGGAACAGTATGTGCAAAGGCCCTGGGGTAGGACAAAGCCTGATGTGCTCCAGGAACATCAGGGAGGCCAGTGTAGCTGGAGCAGAGGACTGACAAGAAATGGAGTGGGAAAGGTCTGAGGAAGAAGAGGGACAAGATCACACAGGGTCTTGGGGGCCATGGAGAGGACATTTTGGCTTTTGGTGGAGTGCAGTGGAAGTCTGGGGAGGGTTCTGAGATGAGGAGTCCTTGTGGCTGTGGGGGTGGGGGTAGGGGCAGGGCAGCAAGACCACAGTGAAGGCTGGTGTCATATAGCCTTGATGGGTGATAGGACCAGAACAAAGAGGAGACAGTAGAGGGAGATTGTGATAAACACAGCGAGGGTGGAAGAATCTAGAGGGAGAGGGCCGGAGAGGATGGTAGAGGGTAGAGAGTTCAAAAGGAGCTACTGGTGCCCAAGCCCACGCTCTCCATCCTCACATTAGCCCCTGACATGGTCTGCAGCACCCTTGGATTCTGGGCCCCTGGCTGGGCAGCCTAGAGCCAGGACCCGGCTCCGGGTGGGGCTGAGGTGCCAGCCTGGCCTTGATGGCTCTCATCGTCTTCCCCAGACTACAACACGGTGCAGACGGTGGGCATGACTCTGGCTACCATATTGTTCCTGCTGGGCATCCTCATTATCATCAGTAAGTGTGGACCCTTCCTGGATACCCTGGGTGCCTACCACCCCCCTGCTGGCTTGTGCCCATGTCCTTATGTCCTATGTCCTGTGTCCTTGTTCTGTCTCTCTCTCCCAACAGGCAAGAAGGTGAAGTGCAGGAAGGCGGACTCCAGGTCTGAGAGGTCTGGCCATAGTGGGGAGAGGGGGAAAGGTGGGGGTGGCCTGGGCCTGGGGTGCTTCCCTAGCAGAAGGGCCCTGTGGGCCTTTCATGCATTTCCCCCCAAAGCCCATGCCTGATGAATCTCTTTCTTCTTTTCTCTCTCATCTTTGCCTCCACAGTCCAACATGCAAATCCTGTAAGTCGGAACTTCCCTCCTCAGGTGAGAGTGAGAAAGTGTGTGGTTCTGGGAGGATGCGGGGTGGGAGTGGAAAGGGGAATCCTCAACTGGGACAGAGAACTGGGGCCACCAACAGAGGGTGGTGGGACAATTCCACAGGAAGCTGAGGAAGTGTGGCAGAGGAAAGACACTAAACCAGGGAGAGACAGAGGGGGATGTGCTAAAGAGGCCACAGAGATTCTCAGAAACAAATGCAGAAGCCCATAAGGGCAAACTGATTTCCAGAGGAGAAAGCTGTGGAGAGAGGGGCCCTCAGCCGGAGAGGGACTTCTGCCAGTGAGGATGGAGAGAGAGTCCAGCCCAAGGGAAGACGGGGACAGAATGTTTTCCAGCCTTGATGCTTCTGCGGCCAGATCTAGGATGAAATAACCACAGAAAAGGAAGAGAGGGAAGGAAGGCAAGCTGGCTTCTGAATAATTACATCAAAATGACAAAAAGAGAGATGTATAGAATACAGATTTTAAGATTCATGTTGAAAAAGAGAACATATGGGATGTAGGGAGTGCTAGAATGGAGGAGAAAGCTGAGACCCACGGGAGAGGGATGAAGGGTGCAGAGGATGGAGGTGTTGGGGCGAAGATGCAGGAAGGGATGGGGGAGGGCTAAAGAGGGGGAGTGTGGGTGCAGGTGGCTGGAAGGTGTGTGGGAAGATGGAGAGGGATATAGGATGCAGGAGCTGGTGAGCATGTAGATGAAAGATTTTGACTCCTTGGGGGTGTTCATTTTAATTATGTAAAAATATCTTGACCTGTTTTTACTGGAATCGCGTCCTTTCCAGAGACTTTAAAAAATCAGAGATGGGAATCTCTCTGCCTCTTATAAATTCTCATAACCAAAAAAATGGTGGGGGGAGGCGTCTTGGGTTACTCAATAGTTGAGGGAATTTGGTGTTGAATTTCATTTCTTTCGTTTTCTGTTCTTTTAATGAAATTTAAAAACACAAATGGGGCAGGACTCTGACCCCTCCCAGTTGAAGGGTAGTCCTGAGGGGGTGAGAAATGGGGATATATCCCGTTATATCCAAATGTTCGGGATACAGGGTATGGGAAAGAAGTGAGGGTGTAGTAGGAGGTTGGGGGTGCAGAAGGGGAATGGGGATTCTCTTTCTGGCAGGGGACCGCCCCAGAAAAGCCCAGGTTGGGAGTGGGGTCGCCAGCCCCCACAGATGTGTTCCTCTCCATGACGCAGTCATGACTGCAGCCAATAGGTATCCCCTATGGACCAGACACGAGGGTGGGGAGGCCAGACAGCTCCCGGGTGTGGCTTCTAGGAGGATTGGGTATGGAGAGCCCGCGGGCTGTGCGAGGGACGCCGCTTCCACCCTCAGGGCGCTGACACTCCCTCCTCCCCCTCCAGCCCCTGGCGGTGGCGGCGTGTAAAAGCAGCCTTGGGGAACCTCCACTGCTGTCCCTGCCTGAGCGCGGGAGCCTGAGGACCCGGTGGAGGCGGTGGGGACCCCAGCCGTGCGCCGGGGAGCGCTCCCCGAATGGGCCGCCCCACCCACCCCAAGGCTGGAGCCGCTGCACCCCGCCGTCCCTCCCCAGACCCTGGCAATGACGACCCCCGCAAAGAGCCCGTCTGTATCCCAGACCCAGGGACTCAGGCCTCCACTCCTGGGGTCCAGGGGTCCCTCGCGAGCCCCCACAGAACCCCGTGTACCGCTTCCCTGCACCTCCTTGTTTCCGCCCGGAAGATCCGTACCTCTGCCCCCTCGGTGTCCCTGTCTTGAGCTTAATAAATGTGCATTTGGTTTTTCTCCTGTTCTGTCTGTGTGTCCTCATCTGTGGGGACACAGTGGGGGTGGGGCGCAGAGCTGAACTCGGATTGCACCCCTTCTCCTTCTGCCCTCCAGTGTCGGGAGTCGCCTCCTCTTCCACACTCCCAAGTTTCCCTTCCTCTCCCTCCACACCTCCGGATCGGCCCTTTCCCTTCCCTTCCTCCAGCGACCCCGCCGTAGACCCCTCCCCTCTCCCCTGCCCTCCCCAAAGGAGCCCCACCCACCCAAGACCAGCCTGCGGGGTTCCACATCTCCACCCTCCTGCGGGTCGATAGGTGGGGCCCCCGCCTGTCCTTCACCCCTGCCCCCCACGCCCTCAACGTCTCCCCCTCCTGCTCCCACCCCGGGCCCTAAAGCCAGGAAACCCAAGAGGAAATGACTGAGCCGGTCTGGGTCCCCGCCCGCCCGCGCTCCCCTGGCCACACCCTCCGCCTGGAGTCAGCCACCGCGCTGCCCTCTCCCCACGCGGCCGCCGGTTCGGGACCCCAAGCTCTGACGTAAGTCCCTCCTCCGCCCACCTCCGCCCACCTCCATCCTCCTCCCCTCTGCCTAGGGCCTGGCTCAGGTGGGCGGGAGACTGGCCTTTTCTGTGCCTCTGCGCCCCGCGTTCAAGCCCCCCTCTCTCACCTCCTCTGTCTGTGCCACAGTGAGCCTCGCCGCTTCGCTCCCTCCTGCCTCAGTCTCCCCGGATCTCCGCCGTCCCCTCGGACCAGTCCTTCTGGGATCCTCGCAGCATCCCGTTCTATCCTCCCTGCACAGCGGCCCCAACGCCACTCACTTTTTCCTGTGTGATCAGGAGTGCGTTACTCACTCTTCCTCTTTGCCAACTCCTGGGCTCTGGGCCCCTGAGGGAGGGAAGGAGTCTCCTGATCTACTCCCCTGCCCCGACCCCTCACGTCCTTCGCCCTTCACTGTCAGTCCGGCTGGGGGTAAGTGTCTGGCAGAGGAGCAGGGAGGTGCTTTTCTACTTCAGGAGTGTCCTCTGGCATTTCTGCTGCTGGGAGATCAGTTTGCTCTGATGCTTCTTGTGTTCTTTGGGGACCTGAAGGGGAGAGAAATGGGTGGTGGCTTGGGGTCCCCACCTCTGAGCCTCTCACCCTTCGTTAGAAGCCAGCTGCTACTCCTGGAAGTCAGAGGTGGCTGCTCAGGGCAGGGAATGGGTCTGCAGGACCCACAGGGGCTGCCCTGGGCCTGCAGCCTGACATCACGACTGACCCTATCATGTTCTCACCCACAGATGTCGCCCTCTGGTCGCCTGTATCTCCTCACCATCATTGGCCTGATTCTTCCCACCAGAGGTAAGACCCTGCCCAGAGCACCCAGCCCTCCCAGTGTGCTGCTGGCTGGGTGGGTGGGGAATTTGGATGCTGAGTCCTGTCTACTCACCATCACTACTGAGCTGACACCAGGAAGTGGGGAGCCATCTGGGGGCAGGGTTGGATCCTCCTTGGACACCTCAGAACTGGGTGGGCCACTTCCAGTGAGTCTGGCTGGAGCCTGTCCTGCTGAGCATCCTCCATTTCACCTCGAAGAAGAGCTCGCTTGGTTTGATTTGGCCAGGAGATCCGTATCAGTTTCCTACTCAGCAGCCAGGAAGCCTGGGCGCCCAGCAAAGCAGATTACTGGGTGCCTGGGCAATGCACCATTAAGCAAAGGGGTTGAGCTGGGGCTAGTCTAAAGAGTTAGAGAATCTCAGCCTTGCCTGGCATGTATTTCTCAAAGGTGGGAACTGAGGGGGCATTTGCAGATGTTTTTTACATGGCAGGTACCGTGTGCATTAGCCCAGTTAGGTTTAAGCTGTTCTTGATTGAACACATTGTCATTCCTGTTCTACGGATGAGGAAACTGAGGCTCACTTAGGGAAAATGCCTTGTGCCAGTGGCTAGTACATGGTGAAGCTGGGATGATAACTGTCCTGCCTACCCCTAGAATCCAGAGCATACACTGCACTGATGGTGCCCCCATTCTCTTTGACAAAATGTATCTTTCAGCCATTCGACAGATATTTGCTGAGTGCCCACTATGAGCCAGATCTTCTGTGCACTGGGGAAATAGCAGTGACTAAAATGAGAGGTCACAGTCTAGTGGGGAACGTCAAATCAGCAAATGACGGAGCAGTAGACAGTATTTGAGAAGGTGACATGTGCTATGGAGAAAAACAGAGGAGGGGAATGAGGGTTGTTTGCACAGGGTGGTCTGGGAAGACCTCACCAGGGAAGTGACAATTCGAGCAAGGAGATGAGGAGAGAGCCTTACAGGTGATCTGGGGGTTGAGTGCTATCTGATGACTTTGAAGCACAGCAGGCAAGCAGGTGGCTGGGTTGGCGTGAGGAAGAGTGGGAGGAAGAGAGGTCCAAGAAGTGATGGAGGCCCTGGAGGAGGGGCATTCAGGGGCTAGGTGAGGACTTTGCTATTACCGAGAGTGAGGTTAGCTGGGGCAGGACTCTGAGCCAGGAGGGTCCAGACCTGACTCAGGTGTTACCAGGCTTCCTCTGGCTGCAGGTGGGGACTATGCCATGGGGCCAGGGACAGGAGCAGGAGACCTGGGAGGAGGCTGCTGGGATGTCCAGCGATGAGGTGATGGAGGCTGGACCAGGCTTGGGGCAGTGGGTGTGTCTAGTGCTGACAACCTGAAGCTCCATCTCATTCCATGCTATTTAGCCCTGGGAAGTAGATTCAATTATTATCTCCACTTGCAGACCAAGTGGACTCAAGGCAGGCAAGGCTCAAAAAGGGGACTTCATTTGCTCCAGGTCACATAGCAAAAAGGTTTAGGGAAGTAGAGTTTGAAATCAGGCCCCTGGCTGACCCTAGCACCTGGGCTAACAAGATGAACCTGCATCTCCCAGCCCACAAGGGTGGGCGAGGAGGGGGATGGAGGAAGGGTTCTCAGGCATTAGCATAGCTTAAAACACTTCCAAGGTCATGGATTCAGGGTCACGGATTCATGGTCACAGATTTATTGATACTGCCAAAGCTGGGTGGCTCCATGGGCAGATAGGACCTCCAGAGTTTCTAGAGTTGCCCCCAAGAGTTCAGCAAGAAGGGGAGAGTGGGAGTGTTGGTGAGACAAGAGGGACCAGAGGCTTCTCCCAGATTTCTCATCCTTTATTCCCCAGGACAGACATTGGAGGGGACCCCGCCCATTTCTCCAGTGGACTCAGCTACCATGGCCATATCTGGCCTGACACCAGCCCCAGGTGAGGATCTTAAGAGGGACAGTTCTGTCAAGATCCTGTCATTGCAAACAGCAACAAAAATCCTGCACTTGAACCAGACACACACGGGGATTTATGGAATCGTGTAACTAAAATGTCAGGGGATAGACCTTTAGGCGTGGCTCCGACTACCTGCTCAAATGATGTTCTCAGGAACCTCGCTCCATCTCTTAGCTCTGTTTTGTCAGTGTTGGCTTTGTTTTCAGGCAGTCCCCTCTCCTGGGACCATGTGGGTCCCTGGAAGCCTGGGGCTTTCATCCTTCCTGCTAAGAATCAAAGAGAATTTCCCCTTCCCCAATCCAGCAAATGTCCCAGAAGCTAGCATCTTTGGAGCTGATCATTGTGGCCACAGGCACAGAGAGCTAATTGGCTGGGCCTGGGCTCCATGTTCAGCCTTCTACAGGGCTGGCATCAGCCCCATTGAGTAAAGTACAGCCAGAATCAGGGAATGATGGTTCCCCAAAGGAAGTTCCAGGGGCTCATATCAGTGCATGTGGGTGCCGGTTTGTGGGCAAAGGTATTTGGGAGACTGAGTTAAACGTGTTTCCTTAAACTAGACATCTCAGCGTCTTGAGAGAGCTAATCTGCAGTCAGCATCCCCAAGGAGCCTCTGGGATGGCGTCTGTGGGAGGTGAGGTCCTGAGTCAAGGGAGATGCTGGCAGCACATTTGGACAGTTAGCAAACGACTGGATTAATTAAGTCATTTTCATTACATGGAAATTGTGTTGCTAAGGGAATCCCCTGTATATTCATCTACGGACCTTCTCCACTTTTTTCTCTGCTTTTTTCTCCCTGATCCCCTGTTTCTGGACTCCAGATACATCCTACCCAGAGCTTCAGGCCACCCCTGCGCCCCCAGCCGAGCCTGCTGATGGTGAGTGGGACAAGAGGAGGGGCTGGGGATGGGTCTGGGGCAGACATAGTTCCCCCTCTTCTGCTGATACTCTCGGTCTTTGGGTGCCTATTTCAGTCTCCACTTAAGCTTTGAACCTCCTGGTTTACTTTGAGTGGGGCAATCAGTCAATCCCATTCAATACTTTAAAAAAAAGAACTTTTAGGTCATATAAAGGTGGCTCACACCTCTAATCCCAGCACTCTGGGAGGCTGAGGTAGGTGGATCCCATGAGCTCAGGAGTTTGAGAACAGCCTGAACAAGAGTGAGACCCTGTCTCTACTAAAAACAGAAAAATATTAGCCAGGCATTGTGGCATATGCCTGTAGTGCCAGCTACTCAGGAGGCTGAGGCAAGAGGATTGCTTGAGCCCAAGAGTTTGAGGTTGCTGTGAGCTATGATGCCATGGCACTCTACCCAGGGTGACAGGGTGAGACTTTGTCTCAAAAAAAAATAAAGAACTTTTGAAATTGTGACATAGAAAAATATGAAACCCATAAATTATGTACAACTTAATGGCTTGCTCTGAATCGAACCCTTGTGTAACTATCACCCAGGTCAAGGAGTAGAACTTCAAACACCCCCAGAAACTCCCTGTGTGCCAACTCCATTCATTTCTTCCTTTCATCTCTATAACTCTTTTTTCCTTTCGTGAATTTTCAAATCACATTTGAACTTTTTCTTGGAGTATGACATAATTCAAAAGCAACTCCCCAGTTTTTTTCAATTGATGTTTACTGACATCGTCACACATACACACGTTCTCCGTGGAAAGGACGCAAATACTGCAAGCAAGAAAAATTCCATTGACACTCTCATGCTTCTTCCCTCCTGACCTCCCCGTCTGAGAGGTCCCCCTTGCTGGCATGGGGGATGGCTCCCCAGTGATACCATATGACGTGGCTATTACCTGGGAGAAAATATACTGACTACGTGGAATATTTGTGAGTTTCAGGATATCTAAATAGCCTTGTTTTTTTTCATGCAACTATATGTTTGGAAGCTTTTCTCACGTTACTGTGCAAAGATTCATCTTGTTTTCTCTGCTGCCCGTACCCCGCGGGGTGCCCTGCTGCAGTGAAGGTAGTCACACACCTCTTGGGCATGTTGATGGCTTCCAGCTTCTTCTGTCTGCACACAGTGCTGCAATGACAAGCCTGTCCCTTCTTCCTTGAGCAACACTTAGAGTATATTCTTATTATGTGCTGGTTATGGTTCCAGAGTTTTTTACTTGTGTTAACTCTTTTAATCCTCACACTGACTCTAAGAAGTTAGATCATCTCCATTTCACAAATAAAGAAACAGAGGCTCAGAGTGTCTTGCCCAAGGTCAGGGACACAGCTCCAATCAAAGTGCAGGAGTGTAGTCCCAGGGCCTGTGCTTTTGTCCAAAACACCATGGGGCAAAGGACGTGAATGTTTCAATTTGTTTCCCAAGTCCTGCACCAGTTTGTTCTCCCACCAGCAGTACATGGGAGAGTCCCCCTTTCTCACCCCTGTAATGACACTCGGTGTATTTGGGTTCTGCCAGCTTGTTGGAGGGAGATAGCTCCTTGCTGTGTTCTAGACCTGCATGTCCCTAATTCAGTCTTTTCTGTCTTTCCCTCCTTGCTTTTCTGACCTGAGTAGAAACAACACTAACGTCAGTCGAGGCCCAGACCCAGACCCAGCAAACGATGGAAGTGGATGGACCTCTAATGACAGATCCAAGGATCCACAAGAGCACCAAGGAAGGTAGAGCTGGGGACTGAGAACAGTGGCCTACAGTTTTTGTTTAATTCTCTGTCTGGGTCACCATTTCCCCAAGTCTGGAGCACCTGTCTGAGAGGTTGTTAATATGTTTTTAAAAATACTTTTTTTTTTGGTTTGTGGTCAAAGGTATTTGGGGGAACTCTGAGTTAAAACATGTTTCTTTATGACAGGACTTCTCAGAGTCTTCATCAAGCCAATTTGCAGCAAGCATCCCCAAGGGAGAGCATACATTATGCAGCATTTCCCAAACTGGTAGACTTGGGAACTCTCTCTCCTTCAGTTCCCTTCATGGGAGTGGTGCTATAAAATGTGATTCTGAACGTCTGTTTTGTGTATGTCTTAATAATAGTGTAGGAGCTTTTAAGTTGCAAAATATAGAAAATACAACTTTAAAAAAGAAGATTTATTGGTTAAATACGTTCTGTAAAGTCCAGAGGTAGCAGTTTCAGGCATAGCTGGATCAAGGAGCTTTCACTGCCATCATGACTGAATTGCTCCCTCGCTTAGCCCTGCTGTCTTCATTCTCAGCTTACTTTTCCTCTCTTGGTGACAAAGATGGTCACATGGTTCTAAATTTAGGTCACAAACCCAGTGGCTGGAGAACATCTTTTTCCCATTATTTCTACCCCAAAGCCTGGTATTGACTCTCATTGGCTTGGCTGGGGTCAGATGTCCATGTCTGAACCCATGGGAGCCTGGGAAATGAATACTCTGATTGGTTAGGCCTGAGTCTTGTGCCTCACCCTGGGTCTGGAGAGGGGGGTCAGCCCCTCCTGAATCACATAGATCTAGAGTCAGGGAAGAGGTAGTTTCCTTCTGGACATGTGAGTTAATGTTACCAGGTATGGAAAAGCAGCCAAACTGGTAAAATGGCAACAGAGGGCCTCTAATGCTTGTGTGATGATCCCTTTCACCGGGCAGCCCCCACTGGAACGTATTGTAGCTTAGGTCATTCCCAGGCTGAGAGGCATGCACAGTTGTGCAGGCTGGGCACTGTACAAGAGCACCACCTCTAAGGCCATGCCATTCCCCTTGGCAATCTTTATAATTGTATCAAGTTTTCAGTGATGGCATTAAAGCATCTCATTCTTACAGAATCTGTCTGCTAAAACAATTTTACAACAGATGAAAATAAAGCGTCTTGGGGAAGGGAGCTTTTTATGTATGGGAGTGGGGGATAGCAGCTATGTCCACACTTTCCAATTGATAAAGCCTTTTCACATATCTGCATTAATTTGCTCTGAGTCTTTGCTGACCTGAGTTACTTTATGTGTTAGTCCATGTTCCTGGGTCTACAGGAGAGAAATTCAGCAGGGCCAAGGGGATCATAGAGCCAAGTAGTAAAAGGCACCGATGAGCCTCCAGATTTCCCAGATCCTCTCTCTCTCCTCCATCTCTGCTTCTCTTCCCATTAGTGAGGAAATGGCCCCTGTTATCTCCCTGCTTGGAGCTTCCTAACTTCGCCAACTGTCTTAGTCACTAAGGTTGCTATAACAAAATACCACAGACTGGGTGGCTTAAACAACAAGAATGTTTTCTCCCAGTTCTGGAAACTGGAAGTTCATCATCAAGGTGCCAGCAGGGACAGTGCCTGGTGAGAGTTGTGGATGGCTGCCCTCTCACTATGTCCTCACATTGCCTTACCCTGATGTGTCTGGGTGGAGAGAGAGATTAGAAACAAGCTCTCTGTTCTATTCTAAAAAGGGCACTAATCCCGTCATGAGGGCCCCACCATCATGAACTCCTCTAACCCTAATTATCTACTAAAGGCCCCACCTCCAAATACCATCACATTGGGGGGTAGGGCTTCCACATGTGAATTTGTGGAGAGGGATACAATTTAACTTATAGTACCTAGCTTTCACCCAAAAATCACTAGTTGAGACTTGAAAATTCTCAGGGAAAGGCTAGACTGGGGTTTGCATACTTCCTATTGTAGCCTGGGTCACAATTAGGGAACCACATAGACTGGGGTAGGGAGAGCAGTTCCCCCAAAGAAAGTGGGAGCTGTTCCCAGAAGGAAGGAGGAGTGCAAAGTAGACAGACAATACTATTGCTGATGTTTGCAGAGAGCTTATTCCATGCTGGGTGCTGTACTAAGCTTTTGTGTGCTACCTCGTTCGATGTGCACAACTACCATACATGGTGGGGACTGTCATTACTCCTGTTTTACAGGGAAGAGAACTAAAGCCCAGAGAGGTTACTCAGCTTGCCTTGGGCCACAAAGCCAAAACTGACAGAATCTGAATTTGAATCCAGACTATCTAACTCCAGGGTACAACACAAACACCACACATCCTCATGGCTGTCCTTTGCATTTTCTGTGGTCTCAGCAGCTTTTTTTTGAGACAGAGCCTCAAGCTGTCCCCCTGGGTAGAGTGCTGTGGCATCACAGCTCATAGCAACCTCCAACTCCTGGGCTCAAGCAAGTCTCCTGCCTCAGCCTCCCAAGTAGCTGTGACCACAGGTGCCCGCCACAACACCCGGCTATTTTTTTGGTTGCAGCCGTCATTGTTGTTTGGCAGGCCCGGGCTGGATTCCAACCCACCACCTTAGGTGTATGTGGCTGGTGCCTTAGCCACTTGAGCCACAGGCGCCGAGCCAGTCTCAGCAGCTTTGCACCTGCCATTGATCTTATACCTGCTTTGGGCCGCACAATCCCTGAACATCTTGTAATCCTCGGCTGTCTGTTCATGCTGAGGGGGTGAGATGCTGAGAGAGGCTCAGGAAACTCAGGGCTCATGAGGCAGCTTTCACCTGTGACTTCTCACGGAGGCATCAGGTGGGATGTTGGAGTCCTTCTCGGGGCCAGAGGGACAGGGCCTTTTCTTTGGGGCACTGATTTTTTTTTTTTTCTCAAGAGAGGAACTCTTTGGTATTTTTGGTCTAAGGCAGTGTTTTTCAACCTTTTTTTTTTTATCTCACAGCACACTTGAACCTATAGTTAAACTTCCGTAGCACACTTAAATTATGTTGATCAAAAACAAAAAGTAAAAAAAAAAGAGTATACTTACTGGGCTTTGAACTTCTTTCAAAGATAATTGAATTAATGATCTTTAAAAATTTTCATGGCACACCTAAAATCCTCTCACGGCATACCAGTCAAAAATCACATCTAGGGCCAGAGGTGATATTCAAAATGTTTGACAAGTATCTCCAGGTCATAGAAGTCTCCCTGCCTGGCTATGACAGGGGTTTAGTTCCTTTATCCCCTGGATTGTAGGTGGTCCATAAAATCCTAGGGGAGGGTTCAGGGGTTCGGGTTGTAACCAGATGGTGCCAGCTTATTCAGTATTTCAGTATCTACCGTTCCTTGTTGCCTCTAGGGATGGATTTGGGGGATGGTTGACCCTGAACACTGGCTGTGCAGGTGTGGGAGAAGGGTTTCTCCCAGATACAGACATTCAGTGTCATCTCTTTTTTTCTGCTTCCACCAAACTCTGGCTGTTCTCTCTGTCCGTCCCACTGAAGCCACAACGATGGTTCCCAAGAGAATGTCTACCCGCGCAGACCCTCAGACCTTCAAGCCACCTGGTCAGTAACTCCCCCCCAGTATGTAAGTAGGCTGTTTTCTATTCACTGGGTATTTTCAGCACCTGGAACACAGCCAAGTGCAGAATAGTCCTGGTAAACATACGTTCAAGTGAATAAAGGGCTTCAAGCCTGGCAGGAGGCAGGGGGTGGTTGGTGAGCGTGTAATAAATGTCTGAATAGGTGGATGGATGCATAAATGAATGCTGCAGACATTCTCAATAACTGAAAGTGATAAACATTCATTCAGCTCTCAATTCTGCAATTTAGAAATGTAGGCTGTGCTTGTTTGGGTGGTTCTTCTGGTTTCAGCTGGATTTACTCATGCATGTGAGGTCACTTGTGGGTCAGCAGGGAGCTCTGTTTCTACCTGGTTTATTCCCCCTGTAGTCTGATTCTCCACTTCCTGCCCGGTCAACCCCAATGGATGAGTGAACATGATATGTACCCACAGGTCACATAGAAAACCTGTTTGCCCATTCATTCAACAAATATCCATTGAGCACCGCCCTAGGCAGTGAAGAAAACAGACAAAAATCTCTGTCCTCATGGAACTGATATTCTAGTAGGGGAAGAAAAATTATAAATAATAATCACAGTAATGATACAGGGTGGCCATAAAGTTCATGTGCAATTTACATCTGTTGAGTTTAACTTGCCATCAAAAAAAATAAAGCAGCATTAAAGAGATAAACTGAGGAGCAGAGGTCAAGTATCCATTATTCAAAATGCTTGAGACTGAAGTATCTCAGATTTTGGATTTCTTTTGGCAGGGAAGGTGATGTTTGGAATGTTTGCATTATGTTTACTGGTATAGCATTTCTAATCCAAAAATCCAAAATTCAAAATGCTCTCATGAGGGCAGCACCTGTGGCTCAGTGAGTAGGGAGCCGGTCCCATATACCGGAGGTGGCATGTTCAAAAACTGCAAAAATGGCTCGGCACCTGTGGCTCAAGTGGCTAAGGCGCCAGCCACATACACCTAAGGTGGCGGGTTCAAATCCAGCCCAGGCCACCAAACAACAATGACGGCTGCAACCAAAAAAAATAGCCAGGCGTTGTGGCGGGCACCTGTGGTCCCAGCTACTTGGGAGGCTGAGGCAGGAGACTCGCTTGAGCCCAGGAGTTGGAGGTTGCTGTGAGCTGTGGTGCCACGGCACTCTGCCCAGGGGGACAGCTTGAGGCTCTGTCTCAAAAAAAAAAATGCTCTCATGAGCATTTCTTCCTTTTTTAAATTTTAGATTAATATGAAGGTATAAATGATTAGGTTACCATGTTTGCATTTGTTAGGTAAAGTCTCTATTGTAGTTGGGTCCTGCACCCAGGGGTGTGCCATATACGGTTACATTGTGCCATTAGATGGGAGCACGCCGATCTCTCTCCCTCCTCCCCTCTCTAATGAGCATTTCTTTTTGAGGTTTGTATTGGTGCACAAGAAGTTTCAGATTTTGGAACATTTTGGATTTTCAGATTAGGGATACTCAACATGTATTTCATATGCAGGACCAGGGCAGGTCTCACTAAAAAGGAAGTGAACAAAGTAGCCACTTGGATGTCCAGGTTAATGGTGTTCCAGGCAGTGGGAACAGCTAGTGCAAAGACCCTGTGGTGAGGTGTCTGGCATGTTCAATGGCAGGGAGGCCAGTGGGGCTGGAGTACAGTGAGTGAGGGGAAGGGGGAGGGGATGAGGTTAGAGAAATAACGCAAGTCAGATTGTGCATGGTGAGGTCTTTGGGTTTTGTTCTAAGGGTACCAAAGCTGAGACCCTGGTGTTCTCACCTCCCTGACTCTGCCATTCACTTATTCACTCCATAAACGTTTGCTGAAACCTGACTTGCTCCTTGTCTGTCCCATTCAGGTCCAGATGAGGACAACCCCTTCTTCTATGGTAAGTTATACATGGGAAGATGTGGGGGAAGGAAGGGTGAAGGCCCCTCTGATTATACCCCCACCATTTTCTCTCTACAGATGAAAACACTCTCCGGAGACGGGGGCTATTGGTGGCAGCTGTACTGTTCATCACAGGCATTGTCATCCTCACCAGTGAGAATGGGAGTTGGGGGGGACGGGGAGGCTTGCACTGTGACTGAGGGTCAAGTCCTCACAGGCCTCTGTGCCAGGTTGTTTTATTTTTTTGAAACAAAGTCTCACTATGTTGCCCTTGGTAGAGAATTGTGGCTTCACAGCTCAGAACAACCTCAAACTCTTGGGCTTAAGCAATTCTCTTGCTTCAGCCTTCTAAGCAGCTAGGACCACAGGCACCTGCAACAACACACAGCTATTTTTTTGTTGTAGTTGTCATTGTTGTTTAGCAGGCCTGGGCTGGGTTCGAACCCACTAGCTCCAGTGTATGTGGCTGGCACCCTAGCCACTGAGCTACAGCCACCAGCTATAGACCCTAGCTGTGCCAGGTTGTTTTAAATGAGTTATCTGTCAGGTATATACCCATACAAATTACCCCAGAATTCAGTGGCTTACAATGATTATTTATTTAGCTCTCAAGCACGCAGTTTGGAAATGTAGACTGGGTTCAGCTACGTGGTTCTTCTGGTCTCAGCTAGATTTATTCATGCATTGAAGGCCAGTTGTGGGTCATCAGGGAGCTCTGTTCTTGGTTCTTCCCCTCATGGTTTTATTTAACTAGCCTGGGCTTGTTCACATGATAGCAGCCTGGGTCTGGTTGAGAGAGAGAAAAAAAGTGAAAGCGAAAGCAAAAGCTTGCAGACTCAGAATTGGCCACCGTCACCTCTGCCACATTTAGTCAAAGCCAGCCACAAGGCCAGGCTTCTTCTTCTAACAGTCAGGAAATAAACTTCCTGGATTTGGGGGATGGTTTGGGAAGAGAGGCAGAGTCACACTGCCTGACACAGATATCAATGGGGAGGGGTGGAGAACTGGGGGCTGGTCTGGAGGTCAACATACCACTCTGGGGTCACAAGCACACTACGCACAGACCTTTCCAGGGAAAGAGGAGGGAAAAGGTTGGGTGGGGAGGAAGTGGATGAAGATTAATGCCTCATCTGGGTAAAGCAGCCCCACCCACTCAGTCAACCAAGAATAGAGGGAGCTGGAGCTGCCAGAGCAGCCCCTCTTTGAAGACTTCAATGTTTCTGTAAAATCTTCCAGGGCATAGATGTTGGCAGCTGGACCCAAAAAAGGTTAATTAGAGACCGTTTAATAGAGGGACTTTTCCACCACCAGGGTAATGGGGCAGTGCAGAGCCCTGGACTAGCCATGATGGGGAGCTATTAGCAGCTGGGGCCTGGTGAGAGATGGAATTGGTTGGAACTGTGTCCCTAGAGAGAGGGTTCCAGCCACTGCCTCACTGTAACCCAACCAGCAGGGAGCCAAGCCCAGAGGAGCAGATGCTTAAACCTCCCTTCCCTCTTCCCCTCTTGTCTCCTGTAATGCTGACCTAGAGGGCAAGGGGCCCTGGAGGGTCGGGTCAGCCTCTCAAGACCCAACACAGGGCAGAGAAGGGCCGACAAAGGGAGAATAACAAGTAGAGAAACTGATTTTTTTTTTTTGCAGTTTTTGGCCGGGGCTGGGTTTGAACCCTCCACCTCCAACATATGGGGCTGGTGCCTTACTGCTTTGAACCCCAGGCGCCACCCAGAGAAACTGATTTTTTTTAAAGGCTTTTAAAATGCTGCGGGACAATTGGACAACACCCTGATTTACAAGCTCTTAGTTAATCTGGGTAGTCTGCACGAACTATAATTTCCTACTTGTCCAATTTCCTCATGAGGAAAGTGAGCACAGCCACATCTTATTTGCCTTAACGGGGAGGCAGAGAGAGCATGGATGATCACTTGATACTACCCTTGGTCTTAGCGGAAAGGCTGAGAAGCCAGAGAGCACTGATGATCATAAAGCAGGATCACTAAGGGGCACTGCTGTGTTGGTCATTCAGAATGTGTTTGGGGCTGGGCATGGTAGCTCACGCCTGTAATCCTAGCACTCTGGGAGGCCGAGGCAGGTAGATTGCTTGAGCTCAGAAGTTTAAGAGCAGCCTGAGCAAGAGTGAGACCCTGTTTCTAATAAAAACAGAAAAACTAGCCCTGTGTTGTGGCAGGCACCTGTAGTCCCAGCTACTTGGGAGGCTGAGGCAGGAGACTCGCTTGAACCCAGGTTTGGAGGTTGCTGTGAGCTGTGATGCAACGGCATTCTACCCAGGGGGACAGCTTGAGGCCTGTCTCAAAGAAAAAAAAAAAAGTCTGTCTCAAAAGAAAAAAAAAGTGATGTGGCTGCATCAGGCCCACCTGGCTCTCAGTGGGGCAATAATTAAGGCTCGGAGAATTGAAGAGTCTGCCCAAGGTCACACAGCACATGAGAATTGGTGAAGGACTGGCCCCAGGTCTGGGTGAGGGCAGAGCCTGGGACGTTAGCTCTGGGGACATATACTCTTCCAACAGCTAGCATTTGTGGACACCCAGTCTGTGTCCCCCTGTGCTGGGTGATGCTGGGGGCATGGTGGTGATAAATAGCCCCGGTCCCTGCCTCAGGGAACTCACATCTGGTGAGGAGATGACAATAAACAACAGAGTGGATACAGAGAAAGATGTTTGTCAAATAAGGCAGAATGGGCTGGGGAGAGAAGCTTCCTCTGATTCCTGATGATGAGAAAATGGTAGAAAAACCAGGTAGAGGGAACAGCAGGTGCCAAGCCCTAGGAGGCAGGAATGAGCTGGGCATGTGTGACAGCAGCAGGAGGAGCCAAGCGGCTGGGGCAGAGTAAGCCAGAAGGAGTGAGGCTGGAGAGGTGAGGGGTGGGGGAGGCAATAGCGGCAGCCAGGAGACAGTAGATTACTATTTTTCAAAGTCCCCTGAGCTTCTAAGGTCCCCCTGACCTGCTCTGGTCTGGCCACCTGGCCTCCTTACTGTCCCTTGAGCCCTCTGTGTCCTCTTTCCTCAAGACCTTTGCAATGGCTATTCCCTCTGCCTGGAACACCCTTCCTCCAGGTGTCACAATGGCTCCCCCAACCTTCTTTAGGTCTTTGCTCAGTGAGGCCCCGTCGTCATCCCTTTGAGGATGTGCTGGGGTCCTGGGCCTCCCTGCCTCCTTTCTGGCTTTGTTTTTCTTCACTCCATTTACCCCCATCTGACTTCTCATCGTCATACATTTGACTCTGTTATTTTTCTCCTCCTTGGTCTTCCCCACTAGAAAGTCAACTCAACAAGGGCAGAGATTTTTAACTTTGCTCCCCACTATGTTCCTAGCATGTGCACAATAAATACACACTAAACGAGTACACAACGTGCAAAATAGTCTTGAGTTTTCCAAGAGCTCTTGTGTGCAGATATGAGAAGCTCCTCCCTCAAGGGGTGGTACCCTGACTGCTGTTAGGGGTGCTTCTCCATCACTTGTTTATAGAGTTGTCTTTGAATTTCCCGAGGGCTGGGAATGACTGGCCTGGCTCTCCAACACCCGGAGCACCCGTGATAATCAATATTGCTCCAACTTGTGACTGAGCCCTTTCCTTCACCCACAGGTGGCAAGTGTAGGCAGCTGTCCCAGTTATGCAGGAATTATTGCAGGTGAGTCCATCAGAAGTAGGGGCTGGCACCCCAAGACTGAGCCCTCCACCAGCTCACCATGCCCAGCCTCCTCCCTCCCCTCGAAGAGCCTCCAGAATGGTCAGTATAAGAAGCCCAGCCTGAGGGGAAGACACAGATGCCTGGACCCGGAGTTGGGGCTGATGGCCCGAGTCCCCTGCCTTCCCCACCTTTGCCACCTGGAAGGCTGCTGGGTTCCCTGGCCACTGCCCCTCCAATTATCTGCCCTGTTCAGACCAAAATAAAGCACAGTGGATCTTCCTTACCTTGTGGTCTCTGATCATTCATGACAGGGGAGTTGAAGAAATGCAGGGCCTGGCCTGGGTCCCCCCACCACACACACCCAGGAGTAAAGCAAAAGTCAGACAGAGAGCAAGGCAGGAACAAAGTGAAAGAGGGCGGCCTGGGGCCTGAGGGGTGGGAGCCAAGCTGTGGCCAGTAAAAGAGTCAGGGCTGCATTGTGCCTGCAGGAAGTTTGAGCCCCCCCACCCCCCTACTGCCCATCTGGCAGCTCAGCTCTACCACTGGGAGGGCATCAGGCAAGCACAGGCGGAGGTCCCAGCCCCTGGTGGTCCCCTCGCCTTCAAATTTCCCAGCCTGCACATCCAAACTCCAACAGTACCCCTCCACACACAAATGGTCACCTCTCGGCCACCTCTTGGCTTATAGATGTGTCCACTAAGAAGGCCATGTGGGCCCTGGCATGGGCTCAGAGTGCAATTTGAGTGAGGAACTCTGGGGTGCTAGGGACCAAGAATAGAATCAGGAAGGGGCATAGACACCGGCTTCACTTCCCAAAGCCCCTAGACTCCACAGCCCATGAGGAGGGGTTCAACCAGGCTAGCCCAGAGCAGCCCTTCAAGGGCAAGGCTTAGGCCAGGTGCTCCGCCCAGGTGCAAGGCTTGTGCCAAAGTAAAGAGACAAGGTCCTGGTCACAGGGGGTTGCACAACCACCTTTTACAAACTTCAGGTCACAACCCATCCATGGATTACAAAACAGTTTAGTGGGCTGTGAGTAGCATGAAAAAAGAAAAAGAAAAGAAATAATGAAAAAGAAATCACCAGCACATCCCAGATAACAAACGAAAGACTTTATATATGCAAGGTAGACATAAAGTTCGTGTGCAATTTACTAAAATAAACTATTTTAAATTGCACACGAACTTTATGTCCACCCTAAATAATACATATAGTACATTGCATACATATATGTATGTAATATACATATTGGGGGTACTAAAAATATTTCCTTATTGGCACCCACCACCTGCTAATCAGAACAGATGTCTAACTGAAGAGGAAGGAACATTATCTATATATGTAGTGTCTCTCTCTCTCTCTATATATATATACAGAAGAAAAGAGATTATGTCCATTAAATTAAATCATTTGAAAATGTTATTGCTCAAATATTTTCAGCCTACAAAAATAGCAATTTCATATGGCTCAACCTCTTGATATACATAACAGTGATGACATAAAATGCATGTCATACTGCGTGACCCTCTTTAAAGATGAGACCTAGGTGGCGGCAGGGAAGAAACATTGCTTCTTAGAACAGGAAATGCCCGCAGCCACATCTGCTCCCTGGCTCTGCAGCCACATCAGTATTTGAAAGATGTTTTCAGGACAGTTACTTCCCAGACTTCAATCGTTACATACCCTGTTTGTTCCCAGTGGCTGACATATTTTCATCCCACCTGTACTGTTATTCATTCTTTTAAAAGAACAGCTCCCTTTTTAACTTAAGTGAATTGATTTTGCAAGGCACACTCATATATGGATAACCAGTACCGCTTGATATAAATAGAAGATAGCTATGAAGATAAACCCAGTGGAAAGAAATGAAGAAAACATTATATTGAATTCTAGCCAGACATGGGGTTGCTGTCCAAGGGCTCTGAACCAGAGGCCACGGGTCAGGTTGTGATTTTACCCTATTGCCCGAAGAGACTGCAGTTTACAGGGGTGTGGTTGAAACCCTACTGCCACGGTAGGCCTGAGATCACGCTCACTTCTGACACCAACTGCAGGTTTGAGACCACCCTTAGGTTTCACAATTGGCTGGAAGGAGTCACAGAACTCAGGGAATGCTGTCATGCTCACATTTCTGGATTATTATAGTGAAAAAAAATCAGCCAACGAGACTGGGCGCCATGGCTCAGGCCTGTAATCCTAGTACTCTACAAGGCTGAGGCAGGTGGATTGCTTGAGCTCAGGAGTTTGAGACCAGCCTGAGCAAGAGTGAGACCCTGTCTCTACCTAAAATACAAAATCTATTGTGGTGGGCACCTGTAGTCCCAGCTACTTGGGAGGCTGAGGCAACAGGATCGCTTGAGTCCAAGAGTCTGAGGCTGCTGTGAACTACGCCACGACACTCTACCCAGGCGGGCAGAGTCTTACGGGTGTGGTCCAAGGCCACAAGAGTGCAGACAAAGACACTCTTATCAAGCAGAACATTCCAAGGGCCCAGAGATTACCTTCCAACAAATAAACAAATAAATAAAATCAGCCAAGGAAAGAGACATATGAAAAGGGAAAAGTCCAAGGACGTTCCAAATACGAAGCTCCCAGGTGTCCTTTTCCAGTGGCGTTGTGGACAGTACTTGGCTTCTCTTAGCGACATGGAGTATTGCTAACCCAGGGGAAGTTGCTCAAGACTTGGGTGTCCAGAATTTTTAGTACGGCACAGTCACACCATGTGACTGACCTCAGTCTCCAGCCCCTCTGGAGGTGGAGCTGAGCCTGCGTGGCCCACAGCCCCCACCATAAATCACAGTGTTGGGAACAATCGGGTGTGGCCCAAGGCCCACTTGAAGACAAAGACACTCTTATCAAGCAGAACATTCCAAGGGCCCAGAGATTACCTTCCTACAGCCAAGAGCAGAGGTCAGAACTTTCTTTGGATAGTTAGCTCTTTACTGGACAGAGACTTTCTCCCTCACATTGTTTGATGGCTTAAGCCATCTGCAAAGGGGATTTGCTTTCTGGCGATGCAGTTCCATGCAACTTTATATTGTTTGAGGCCGAAAACCATCTCACATGCTGCCACATCAGATTTGGAGACACCCAACGGCTTCCTTGGGCAGAGCAAGGGTAGTGCGTCCTCCCTGGGGGACCGCCGGGGCGTCCTTTCTCTCTTGCCCATCTTCCCATGTGGGTAACTCCACATTCCCCAGATGCCCTCTGAGACAGGCCCTGATGTAGACTCAGCTCTCTCATGATATTCAGATGCCCGGAAGAGACCATCCTTCTGCATACATGGAAAAGACCTCCAGAAATCTCTCCCCAGCACTGTTTCCAATGCTCCCAAAGAGTTGTTCATCTGTGGCCCAAATCCTTTCTGGCACAGCACACCTTCTCCTGTTGTGTCATCTCCTGAACTAAGGCTCCCTCCTCCTCTCTTGCATCAGGGAAGGAGGTTTCTTGCCAAGAGTTAATGGCGTGAATGTTATTCAGCCAGCCTCCTGAGTGCAGTTCTGTCAAGGTTCTTGTTTGGGAAGAATTGAGGCCAAACTCCATTAACTAAAAGAAATCTACTTTTTTCTCATGTGACGCTAGATTGTGCTCTTCTAGGGGGCATGGGGAAGGTCCCTGCGGGTGTCTGTGGCGGGGGGGTTGCTTCTATGGGGCTGGGGAGTCAACGCCTCCGGCTCCTGACAGCAGCAGATTAGGCAGCGCTTGAAACAGGGTCTGCAATGGCTTTGCAATTGCCTGCTAGGCTGGGTTAAACTACATTTCCCAGAATCTCTTTCCCACATGCCCGTAGGTTTCTTCTAGGCTGCGTCCCAAGAGACATTCTTGCCGGGGGCAGGGGTGGAGAATTTGTGTGGTGGAGGTGAAGCAGAAGTCGTTTTGTAATTTATACTGGTTTTTGCTTATCTTGTTGCCATCTGGCAGGACTGTAACTCGCGCCTTCCCTGGGTCCTCCTTTGGGTTCTTCAATACCTGGGCCAGGTGTGTGCTTACCTCCATCATGAAAGGCCTTGGATCCAGCAGGGTACCCCCCCCCCCAACCATCACCACCACCAAGATCAGAGGCAACAAGAACTGACATGGGGCTCAGTCTGTCCTTGAGGGCTCCCAGTTATGCTTATAGGTTCCAGCTTGTCCTTGCTCTCCTGGACCTTACATGCATCTTCCTGTAGCACCAGTAGCTTCCTGTACTAAGTCCCCAGAGAAGGCAAGCCCCTGAGTAATGGAGTATTTGCATCCATAGCACATTTTAGTGAAAATAAGGAGTGTAATGGGGCTGCTTCGTTGCTTCTAACTGTGCTGTAAAGCTTCAAGAAAGAAAATGATGAGCTTGGAGCTTTAAATTCCCAGCTTAAATTCTGCATAAGGGACTTGAAAGCTTCCGTGACTGCCCTGAAAGAAGCTCTTATTTTCTGTAGCTACAGGGCTGAGGTTTCTGAAAATCAAACCCAAAGTTGAATCCTGCGGGTGGCTGAATTACAACCGAAATTGAACTTCCAACCTCACAGGGTGTCTTTTGTTACAATAAGGGCATTGACTGGGAAAGAGTGGGGTCCTGAAAAGTGGGGCAGGGATCTATGAGCAGAGTCTAATGGAGTTGGGGACCTTAACCCTCTAAGTTCTGCCAAGTCTCTTTGCCTGTTGAGGCAGCCCTTTCAGCCCTGCCTGCAGGGGCGAGCCTCTTCTTTGCTGTGATGGCCGTGTGTAAGGTAGTTGCCTTGCAAGGCACAGTCATCGCCCCTCAAGGCCTACTTCTATCCCTTCTTCTTGCTTGTAAGACCTATGACTAAACTCAAGGCTCAGGGCAAGGTAGAGCGTGACCCATGAAGAGGTGCAACACATACCCAAATAATTATTAATTTCTGCTCACCAGTTTATATCAACAGAAAACTGGGGAATGTGTGTGTATTCAATAAAAACTTGGATGAGGGATATTTACTGATATTGGTCCACTTGGCAGAGATTCAGCTTGAGTGAGGTGCAAGGAATGGCTATGACAGTTTGCTTGGTTGGTTGACGGATGCACAGACCCAAAGTTGGCCCACAGTAGGCCGAAATATCAAAGCTTCCTTGGTATCCTGCAGAGTATGAGTCGGCAAGCTTTTTCTGTAAAAGACCAGGTAGTGAATGTTTTAGGTTTTATGGGACAGTCTCAGGCTGTGAATATTCAACTCTCCCCCATTGTAGCAAAAGAAGCCACAAAGATAATATATAAATAAATGAACGTGGCTGTGTTCCAATCCAAGTTTATTTGTGAAAACTAAAATTTGAATTTCATATGGTTT